TGCGTGTAGCTTTAAAGATTATCTAATCCCAAGGGACTAATGTCGATCTACCGTTATCTTAGGTTACTACGTAAATCTAAGGCTAATAATGTAATTAATAAGGGGTTTATGGAATCTAACTAATTATAATCTAGTTTAGATTCAAGGGAGAATATCAGTATGTAATGGTCGGACTTTGGGGATTTAGCAACTCATTGACCTAGCTCAGATTAACAAAATTGTTTTTAGTAGGAAGTATTTGTTTGAAAACCCTCTTCTCACACTCTCGTGTTTATTGATTCAGATCCTACGATCAAACCTATGTGAGTGCTCTCGTTGTTTCAATTAGGGTTTAAAAATAGTTTTTGGAAACAAACAAAACCTAATCAACTTAAAAGCACTCTCGTTGTATTTTAAGTTGATTCACAATTACTACTGTCCAATTATTATCTCAAACTCTCGTTTTATTGATCCTAATCTCTATCTGTATTTTACTCTCGTAACAAAACAATTAATATTTAGAACTAGTAATTGAAACCAGAAAAATTATTCTTTTAAAAAGGAACTGACCAATTGGCGTTGCTAAAACCCCGTTGGCTATATGAACTTACATACCGATAAATAAATTTAGCCTAGCATATTAAACGACTCAATAACAGCGTAACAGAAATAATTATCATCAAACAATTTAAATAAAAAACATTTCAGACGATCCTGGCATAAATAAATAAAGTACTTAAATTAAACCTGAAAATAATATGGCAGAATATTTGGCTCACTTCAGGTATCTCCCACAGATTGGTAAAAATAAGCGAAAAGAAATAATGCGGAGAATATTTTTGGCAGAGCAACAGTAAAAACACAGAAAAGAAAAACGTCTTTAAAATGGAGATTTGAGATCCTATTTATAGCCTTGGAGACGCGCAGGAGTTGAGATATTTTCTCTTCCAGAATTTCCTCCGTAGCGACCGCTACAGACTGAAGAACTCTCAGTGTAACGGTCGTTACACTCTTGAACTTGGGGTAGGGCTTGCATGGCAGGGTGTAACGGTCGTTACACTCCTTTGGTCCAATGTGTAACGGTTGTTACACTCCCTTAGTGAATTGAGCCAACGCTTCTTTCTTAGGATTTTTTCTTTTAGTGCACTCTATTCTACCACACACCCCTCGATGCATAATTGCTCTTGATTAGCTTGACTTTTCTTGGCTTTTCTTGACTTTCTTCGCACATGCCTTGCAAACATCAAATTCCTGAAAACATAGAAAATACCAGCATAATACGAATAAAGAGTAATTTAATTAATTAAAATGCGGATAGAATTCATGTAAAATGATCCAAATATTCGATACATTTTCGGGTTATCAAATTCCAGATATCTATCGATCAACTAAGATATTATACCAACAACCTTATCATAGAAACTCTTTCACAACCCAACTCCAAATTATTTTTTTGATGCCTTCAAGTAGGACATCTTGATGAGGTGTGCAAATTATTCTTCTTTGCTGTTTTAGACCATGTTTCCTGCCAAACTCATTAAAGTGTTATGAAATAACCTTTAGGTCATTGTCAGCTCTTATTTTACTAACATGCCTTAATCTCAAATTTCATATTTGTTTTTGTTATGAAAATATTTAGTAGTTGATAAAACATGACCAATAAAAATGGAACCATCTAAAATATATAACCACATATTTTAGATCCTTTATCCACAATTCACACAACATGCAAAATTTTCAACACTCCATGTTCAATTTTAGTGCAATAGTCTAGATCATCAAACATACTTTTGAACAACAATTTTTGCTTAAGGTGGAGGGAACTAAGAAAGGTGATAGAAACTTTCCATTACATTCTGATAGAGAAAAAGTAGAGAAATTGAAGAGCTAATAAAGACCAAGGCCAAATCTAAAGTTAATTCTTCCAAGGAAAATCAATTTCAAGAATGAGAATTCGGACACGTGTGTATAAGAACAAGCAGAACTAAAAGCCACACATTGTCTATACCGGTCTAGGCTTAGGGGCCACTAGTTTAGCGCCCACTCCATGAAGGCACAATAAGAGAATAATACAAACAACAAATGACTAAAATTCATCATGAAGGAAGCATGACTATCAGATCAAGGAAAAGTTTAGACGTGGAAACATCTAACCCCTAAAATAGTTATAGGGATCCAATCTATATGATCCTAGTATAAAACCTTAAAAAGGCCCCATATTCATGTATACACTATTCAAACTTTAAATATATCTCATTTTAACATGTCTCCGACTTGAGTATCAGAGTGTTTGCAAATACCCTCTTCTGTAAAACCAGAGCATCACATCAACACTTTTAAGAGCATCAAAATATCAACACCTTTAGCAGAATAACCTTATAAGTGGTTTACTCTTCGTGTGTGAACTAAATAGTTATTTCCTAGACCAATTACTATTATGTATTTCACAGAGAGAGACCCTTGAAGTACGAAATTATTTTAATTCAAATTTCATTTTCACATTCTTAATAAATTTAGAGTTGAAGTATTAAACTTGTAGGTCAAATGCCTACATTACATTAGAAGCCTTGAACCCTCACAGTCAAATGTGAAATCATCCTCTCTAATCACAAATCAGTTCCAGAGCAGAACAATATATAATTTTAATTTAATTATATTTTTTCTTTTAATGCACTTCATTGCTTTAATTTTTATTTTACAAACACCGATAGTTATTAGTTTTATTTTTTGAAACGTTACATAGAACTTCAAACTCGTAAACCTTTCAACTAAGAATAAATAAGATCTAAATCAAGTTTTAGATCAATATGTATAATCTATTATCGATTATAATATTTAACTCTAAAGCGGTTAATTATATTACGATATGTCACATATCATATAACTCTATTTTTTTCCACATTAATTAAAATTCTATGTGTCACTCTTAAAATTGAATACAGTAATAAATTTGTACAATTGCTCTTCATCACTTCAAATTATATTCTAAAACATATATGTTACAACAACTTTATTATTATCTATCTTCCATCCTCAAAAAAATTACTCATAATTAAATACAACTTTCACTCCTTAACTTTTAATTTAATTTAAATAATTTTTCATTATATTTCAATTATATATTTCAATATTTCCATATTTATTTATACTATGATGCATATCCTTTCCTTTCTTCTTATTTTATAGTCTAATATATTAAAAAAAAAAATTCATTAAATCAAAAGACTAACATAAATATAAATTGATGAAACCATTAAAAAATAAAATAAAATATATAATGGCTAAAAAAATTAAAATAAAAAAATATTTAAAATTCTTACAAATTTACTAATGACAATAATAAATGTTTTAAGTTTTGCACTATAAACATTACTAATTAACCAAAAATTTAAGGGAAAAAATATAGATTGTTTTTAATTATAAGGACTTATCTAATGACAAACATAAAAATATTTCACTTGCACCTCCTCAATTATATGTATTATCCTTAATAATTTTAATAATAAATATGCTTTATATAAAAAAACACATTAGTTGGATAACTAATTTATTTTAGTACGAGATAAAATAAATTGAAAGATGGCAAAATTATTTTTGAATTATATTGTATAAATAATAAATTATAAGACTGTTAAAATTTTTTAAAATGCCAATAATAAATGTCTTAATTTTGACACTATTAATATTAATAATAAACTAACTATATCTATAAAAAATAACATGAGTTATATCTCATACACTTATTCTCAATAATAAATATAAAATCAAAATTTTCATCATAATATAAAATCAAAATATTGTATATGTACTTTTCTTTTTTTAATTTGAATTTCTTCCAAATATATATAATATATATCATGCCTTTTTTTATACAATTTTACATTTCAGCAGAGGATGCTCAGCAGGCGGTTTGAGAGATAGACGTAGAAAACGACACCGGTGTCCTTGTCAGCTGACACGGTCCGTGTCAGAAAGTATGGGCAAGAGGATTTATTGGTACGACGGATAGAGAATGACACGGGTGCTCGTGTCAGGTGACACGGCTCGTGTCGGCTATGACACTGATTTTGAGTGTTTTTATGATTTTTCATGATTCTGAAATAAATCCATTGTTATTGCAAGACAAAAATAGTACACTTATTATTTTTCCCATCACACTCCCTTATCTCTATTGAGCAAATTGATTCGACACAATGAATTAGTTTCAACACATTCATCATATAACTAAAAATCGACAAAATAGACATAAATTTTATGAAGTTATTGAAAGTACTATTTGATAATAGTTGTAAATAAAATTTTCATTTTATTTAACACTATATATATATATATATATATATATATATATATATATATATATATATATATATATATATATATATATATATATATATATATATATATATATATATATATATATATATATATATATATATATATATATATATATATATATATATATATATATATATATATATATATATATATATATAAAAGATAAGTAAAAAAAACATTAAAAATATAAAAAACCACTTTAAAGATAGGTAAGTTTGTAAATTTAAATTACAGATATCACTTTTAATTTACAAACATGTATTATCTTTTCAAATAAAATATATATTTATCTATATAATTAATTTATATCATTGTCTCTATTATAATTTTAAAAAAATAATATAAATTTAATAATTATATTTTTTTAAAACAAACATTTAATATATTTAAAATTAAAAAAAAAATAAACAAGTTAATTTACACCACGGCGCATCACACGTATCTTAATCTAATTAATTTATTAAAAATGAAACTTTTTACTGTAGTTACTTTTATTTTAAAGAAAGGGAAGAATGCAATGTTCTTCATATTACTCAAACTATATTAATTAAATTCATGTTTGCATTGTGGAACATACAATAGTAGAAACAAAAAACAAATAATGACAACAAAACAAAAGGACAAGTAAATAATATATCTCTTGATGCTTCAACTATGGTGCTTGAACATTGTTGCATGATATCTTTTCAACAACTCTCTTTAACATATTCTTTCTCCAACTCCTCAAAAGTGTTTGTTATTACACCATATGGATTTATTTCAGAATCATGCATTTTCTCTCCTAATTCTTTACTTTTTTGCATGATATCTTGGATGAACAAAGAAACATTAGAGTGAGAAGATCCTCCTTTTTCTACAGCCTTTTTAGCCATCTCACCAAGTTTTCTAATCCTTTTTCTTCTTTCTTCCCTTTCATTTGTCTCATCCATTAACCTTTCTATTCCTTTTTCAATATTTTCCTTCTTCACCAACACACTTGTTTCCTCTTCCTCACCCCATCTCATTGGACTCTTCACTCCAATTTTCACACCAACTTCTAATACTTGTACAACTAAAATTTCATTCAAAAATTGATCGGCAAAAAGTGGCCATGTAACCATTGGCACACCAGCACATATTGCTTCTATAGTAGAATTCCAACCACAATGTGTTAGGAATCCTCCAGTTGCAGGATGTGATAATATCAGCAACTGAGGAGCCCAACCCTTTATTACTAACCCTCTACCATTCATTCTTCCTTCAAATCCACTTTCCTCAATCCATTTTCCCAATTCTTCTAAATGATTTCCTTCTCTTATAACCCAAATAAATGGTCTTTTTGTTGCTTCTAATGCTAAACCAAGCTCTATCAACTGTGGTAGAGTTAAATTGCATAAACTTCCAAGAGATGCATAAACAACACTCTCTTGCTTCTGAGAATCAAGCCACTTGAGATGAATCCATTCATCAACTGAAACGTTCATATTATTATGACCTCTTTGAACCTTATCAAGACTATCAGTGTTACTAAGTGATACAGGACCAATACACCAAACTTTGTCATTGTTTACCTTTTTATAATCCTTAGCAAATGTTGGCTCTAACTCCTCAAAAGAGTTCACAATTTTCCCATAAGAACCCATTTCAGCTTCAAGCATATCAATATTAAACTGCTCCCAAGCTTCACCCTTTAATCCTACTCCTGTTTGTGCTATATTTATTACAAATTTTTCAGAAAAACCAGGCAAATGAAAGTACTCATATTCGTTATTAGCCATGGTTTGTACCATATTACTAACATATAAATTATGCAGAGACAAGAGATAAAAGCAACCTGTTCCAACAAAAGAAATTCTTGGAATATTGAATTTTCTAGCTATGTGGATAGTATATGGTAAACACATATCAGAGATTATGCAACTTGGTTGCGGTGTTAACTCTTCAAATATTTTCTCAGCTTCTTGTTGTAGAAATCTTGATGAATTGAAGAAGTTTGATGCTGCACCAAGTGAAGATAGCATGTCAAGATTCTCACACCCTTCCGGTAATCCAGACTCTTTGGAAGGAAATCGGAGTTGGATTAAGTGAATCTGTAGGCCAGATTGTAGAAAACGTTGAAAAATTGATGAGAAACGAGACGCATTTTGTGGAGTTGTTAGTATAGTAACGATAACATTGTTGTGATGTTGTGCTAATATTTTAGCAATGTCCATCATAGGGATCATGTGACCCTGTGCCATCATTGGAAATAACACAAAGTGGAGCTTTTGATCTTCGGATGCCATGGTTGAAAGGCTTAAGGATGCTATGTAATGTAAGCGTTTATATATATATTAACACAAGGAACATTGTATTCTTCCTTTGAATTTTTTTAAGGTTATGTAAGCGATTACCTATACAAAACTTGGATTATTTAAATCGTACGTTTGTTTTATATATTTGTCTATTTCATGTAACTTTTTTACAATATAGGTAGCATCGCCGAACAAAGAGGTGTCTTATTTCTGGTGGAGCAAGTGATATGTCTTTTACCGGAAATAAACAATAAATAAGGTTTGGAGACGCCGGCGTAGTTAAGCGGTATTAATTGCCCTGCATTGTTTAAATCACAACAAGTCCTCCATAAAGAAGGAAAACAAAAAGTGAATCACTAAGAAAAGGAAAACATAAAGTGAGACCATAATTCGTCAATTTAAAATTGTTGTATACTTGGATTATATCCTTTTAATATTAGAAAAAATCTTTAACAATATATTATGATGTTACTATTGATGGTAGTTAGTTAAAAATAGAGTTTTAGAAGATAACTAACTTTTTCCGTAAGTTAGTTATAGTTGTAACCGTTTTTCAGCTTGTCTTAGCTTATTATATAAGTGAATTTATATCTTTGTAATCTTTCTAATATAGTTAATGGAGTTTTCTATCTTCATCTCCAATTATGTATTCACAAACTATGATATGGTATTAGAAGTAATTCTCTGATCTTTTTCCTTCCGCTTTTCTTCTTTCTTCTTCATCTTCTTGTTTATCCTTTCTTCTTCCTTTTGCGTAAGTGTGAGTCCTTCATGGTAAATCACAATGATCCTTACTATTTGCATTATAGAATATTTCAAAGTAATAATTCTGATGATTTTATTCATTGATCAAGGTACTATATATACACAAAAGAGTTTCTATAATTCCTCTTCTATCAAGGGAATGAAATAAATTATTTACAGCACAAATATTTTCCTACTTAATTTAGCTAAAATATCTTTGACTTATCTTAACACCCCCACTCAAGTTGGTGCATGGATATCACACATTCCCAACTTGAACAAAGACTCATTAAACACCTTACTTGCCACTCCTTTAGTGAGAACATCTTCTAACTGAAACTCAGATCTTACAAAAGGAAAAGAAATTATTCCAGCTTCAAGTTTCTCTTTGATAAAATGTTTATCGATTTCTACATGCTTCGTTCTATCATGTTGCACAGGATTGTGCACAATGGCAATTGCTGAAGTATTGTCACAATACAAAGTCATAGTCTCCCTTGGTTCAAAATCCAAATCTGATAGAATATTTCGTATCCATAAAAGTTCACAAACTCCTAGTGTCATGCCTCTAAACTCAGCTTCAGCACTAGACCTTGCTACTACCTTTTGTTTTTTACTCCTCCAAGTTACAAGATTCCCCCTACAAATGTAAAGTAACTGGAGGTAGACCTTCTATCATTTCTTGAACCTGCCCATTCAGCGCCGCTATACCCTTCTACCTTCAAGTTTCCATTATTTGAGAATAAAATTCCTTTTCCAGGAGTGGACTTCAAATATCTCAAGATCCTTTCAACAGCATCCTTATGAGCTTTCCGTGGATCATGCATAAATTGACTAACGACATTTACTGCATATGTAATATCTGGCCGTGTATGAGACAAGTAAATTAGTTTTTCCACCAACCTCTGGTATTTTCCTTTGTCTATGCTGGCTGAATTTTAGCATTGAAATAGCATATGATTTTGTTCAATTGGGGTATTAACAGGTTTACACCCAAGCAGTCCCATTTCAGATAGTAAATCAAGAGTATAATTTCTATGGCATAGAAAAATACCATGTTTAGATCTAGCTACTTCAATACCCAAGAAATATTTGAGGTTTCCAAGTTGCTTCATCTCAAATTCAGAAGCGAGGTATTTTTGCAAACTAGACATCTCATCTTGGTCATTCCCTGTAACAATCATATCATCTACATAAATAATCAAAGTTGTAATTTTACCTCCTCTTTTCTTCAAAAATAAGGTGTGACCAGGGTTACTTGCTTTATAGCCAAAAGCCTTCATAGACTTAGTAAACCTACCAAACCATGCTCTTGGGGATTGTTTTAATCCATATAGAGTCTTTCTTAACTTTCAAACCTTCATCTCATTTGAATCTATCATACCTGGTGGTAGATCCATATAAATTTTTTCTAAAATTTCTCCATGTAGGAAAGCATTTTTCACATCAAATTATAGAAGAGGCCAATCTTGGTTTGCTGCTAGTGACAAAAGTATTCTCACAGTGTTGAGCTTGGCTACCGGCGCAAATGTCTCTTGATAATCTACACCGTAAGATTGAGTGTAACCTTTAGCCACTAGTTGTGCTTTATACCTCTCAATAGTTCCATCAGCTTTGTGTTTAATTGTATAAACCCATCTGCACCCCATAGTTTTCTTCCCTTTTGGTAACGTCACAAGATCCCAAGTGTTGTTTTTTTCTAAAGCTGCCATTTCCACAACCATTGCTTCAGTCCATCTAGGATCTGCTAAAGCTTCCTGCACATTACTAGGAATAGAAATTGAGGATAATTGAGATACAAATGATGCATATGACTTAGATAACTTGTGAGATGACACATAATTACTAATGGGATATTTAACTTTGGACTGAAGGTATGGTTCATATCTAATAGGAGGTTGACCACAGTTAGAACGAGGTGGAAGATTCTATTGGACAATAATGGATTAAGTGTTAGGTGTGTTAGTGGTCTCATGGAAACTAGGGTCAATTTCATGATCAATTTCATGAGAAGAGGAATCAACTTCAGAATGAACATTAGTACCTACTTCATAATGAACATTAGTATCAACTCCATTGATAATTGTATTATCGGGAATAGAATTAGGAAATACCTCTGGAGAGTTAACTTGATCTTGTGGAGAAGATTGAGCTATTTGATTATCGTCAGGGGAAACTGTATTATCTAAAGGTGATGTGTCAATATTTGAAATTGATTCATTACCTGCAGAATGATCCTCACAAGATAATTTATCTTCACAAAATAAGTCAAACATGTTAACATCATGGTGTTGCACTTTACTTTCATTCCCCTCTTGAAGTGTAGAATCAACATAGAAAAAGTTATCATCATGAAAAGTTACATCCATTGAAATATAAATTTTTTTAGATGATGGATGATAAGCACGATAACCTTTTTGAGTTGATCCATACCCAACAAAGACACATTTAAGAGCTCGTTTTTCAAGTTTTGTACGTTGATGTGGGTGTAAGTGAACATATATAACACATCCAAAAATATGAGGTAGTAAATGAACAATGGAAGGGAGAACATGATAATCAGATAAAACATCTAGAGGTCTTCTAAAGTTATGCACACTAGAGGGGGTTCGATTAATTAAGTAAACTGCTGAATTCACAGCCTCGCCCCACAAATGAGATGGAACATTACCATCAATTAGGAGTGTTCTAGTAACTTCTAATATGTGTCTATTTTTCCTCTCGGCCACTCCATTTTGTTGGGGGGAATAAGGACATTTTGTTTGATGCAAAATGCCCTTAGAGTTCAAAAAATCTTTTAATTCTTTCTTAAAATATTCCCCTCCATTGTCTGATCTAATTACCTTAATACATGTGTTAAATTGTGTTACTATCATTTGATGAAAGGAGCGAAGCACGTCATACACATCACTTTTATGTTGTAGCAAATATACCCAGGTTACCCGTGTACAACAAAACTAATAAACCATTTTTTTCCATTATGTGTAGTTTGTGGAGCAGGATCCCAAACATCAGTGTGTACTAAAGAGAAAGGAAAGTCTATTTTCTTATTACTCAAGGGAAAAATAGCACGATGACTTTTTTCCATAGCAAAAGTTTCACAAAGAAAATCTGAAATATTGCATTTATGAAATAACGATGGAAACAATTTTTTTAGATAACTAAAAGAGGGATGCCCCAATCGTCTATGCCATAGCCAAATATTTTTTTTTTATTTTGATCTTGTATGTGATCACTTGCAAGATGAACCAATGCTCCTTTATGTATTTGTGAAACTTTTTCAAGATAATACAGCCCTTCACTATATCTACCACTGCCAATCTTCTCCTTGGTATGTATATCCTGAAAAACACAGTGGGTTGGATAAAACACAGCGACACATGAATGTGATTTTGTTAATTTACTGACAGAGATAAGATTTCAATTCAAGGTAGGAACAAATAAGACATTAGGTATTGATAGGGAGGGTGATAGAGTCACTGTACCAACACCTTCAATGGGAGATTCCACTCCATTGGTAGTAATAATAACAGTTTTATGACAATTAGGAGAGAAATTAGTAAACATGTGTTGATCACAAGTCATATGATCAGTAGAACCTGTATCAATTATCCAATTGCTATTTCTAATAATAACAAAAGGATTATGAGCAGAGTTAGACATACCTAACTTGGTTACGAAGCCGGCAGCAGTAGAAAGATGAGCCTTGCTGTTTTCTGTCTTATTATTCGAAGTAGTTTTTCCCGTTGGATGCCACTCCGGGTAGCAATGGAGCTTAAAACATGTCTCCATGACATGATTATCTCCATTACAGTGATTACACTTGCGGATTTCTTTCTTCGGATACTTCTTGACAGCTAAGGAGGAACCATTCGAAGACTCACCGCTTAGCATAGCTTCTTGGCGATTCGCCTCTGCACATACAATTGCATAGACTGATTGAACATTAGGAAGCGGAGTGGTATCCAGAACACGACCACGAACTCCATCCAAATGTGAATCCAAACCAACCAATAAAACATAAACTCGTTGAGAATTAACCATCTTATTGTATTTCTCAACATCTTTAGTGCATTCCATGGTACAATTATTAATACTATCGTACTCTTGCCATAGCCTCTGCAATTTTCCAAAGTATGTAATAACAGATCCACCATTTTGTTGAGTAGAGATTACCTCACGATGCAATTGATAAGCTCTTGATGCATCTCGGTCGACAAAGTACGTTTGTTTCGCAGTTTCCCAAA